ACTCCGAAACTGGACACACACCTCAACCCCATACATAATCCCCAAAGGAGCCACAGACGCAAGCCTTGTCCGCCTGCGCATGGTAGCAGAGTGTTTCCGCGATGCAGCGTACATTTACCTCCATTCGACCCTAGAACGAATGAGCCAGGGCACCGTGGCTCGAAATTTACCATCATTGTGGTCTTCCTTCGTCTCCCGGACAAAACAAGTCGCTTTACGCCGTTGTCTGGACAGAATCCAGTCTTTACCTCTGGATGAAAACTGCGAGTATTCGGCCCTTACGTTTCCGCTTTTCATCGCGGGCTGTGAGAGCGAGAGCCCTACGGCAAGGGAGCTGGTTACTCAGTCGTTGAGCAAATTAGAACGTAATTTTGGGATCGGGAATACGAGGCGGGCTAAGGAATTATTGAATATACTCTGGAATGGGGAAAAGATGCATTGGTTGGATGTATTGGAGCAATTGAAGTGGGACTTGATTCTTGCGTGAGGTTTGTTCAGCCAAAAGGTCATTTGATGTAATATTAGCATGGAGTTACAGGACATTTTGTATAGTTGGTATACTGAGTGGACATTTGGGTCTATGGGCAGATTAAGTATTTGTTATGACTGGAACATAGGCGGGTTAATTATTCATTGGCATGTTCTCTTGCTGCTTCTTTAGCCGTGGTCAATTTTTGGGGCTATATAGAAATTAATATATGGAATGTAACAAAGGGTATAAACAAGAATTTGTGTGACCGATGAAGAGACACGGGCGAAGGCCAATGTCGATATATCCTGTCAAAGACCACTAGCCTGCTCAACGGCTCGCGACATCATTCTCAAATTTCTAACTTAATCCCATATTGACTTCGTCACCTAACCCCATCTCCCGTTCTGCCCTCTCAATGCCTCCTGCAGCGCGTGAACCCCAGCGATCCAAGCGGTCTTGCGAGTGTGCAATCTCCTTGTCTCGTGCACTCTTATCGCTATGGGCTGCACTGCCATGGATGCTTCCTTCCCGACCCAAACTGCCGCTGCCACTGGAGTAGCTGGACGACAGCTTCTGTGAGGACGGAACGCTAATCGGCCTGGAGGCGATTTTGCCGGGGCGGCTGGAACTAGTGGCAGAGGTTATTCTTCCGAGATCTACGGACGAGTTATTGTTGGAGGCTGGTAGTGTGGAGGAGGAGATGCTGCTGGTTTTGTCGCTTACAGTCTTCGAATTCCCAAACCAGCGTCGTCTCCGTGCTTTGGAGGTGGACCCGGCGAGACTCTCGGAATCAGCATCGACTGTTGAAGCGTCAAGGGTTCCGGATCCCCTTCTCTTCTCCCTCTCCTTCTCTAGCGCCTGGGTTAAGCCGGACGTTGCCTCCGCCGATGTCGAATCGGCGGTCGATGAGACCTCCACGAGTTCAGCATCGCGACACCACTTTCTCCGACGAGTGTATCGATCCCAGCCATCTTGGCCCCGACGGCCATCATTCCACTATGAGATTTTAACGGTTAGGCAATGGTATCGCTTACGCTAGAACAATGCCATAGAGGGCTCACCTTATTGTCATAGTAGATCCATCCCCCGCCATCTTTGGCGCTCACATCATCGGCGCCATCGATGCGCCACTCACTCCCTTCTACCCAGCGCCATTTGGCATTTCCGCTTTGAACTTCGGGTAGCTCAAATTCATCCTTTGATGGCACATTGTTAAGGTGCTCATCGGTCCATGCAGCACGTTCGGACGGGAACAGTGAATAGGTCCAGCCGATTCCGAGCCAGCGCCGTTGGTTCTCATATAAGATGAATGTAAAGCGCACGCCGGATGATTCTCCCCGTCGACGGGTTGCAACGCTAGCAGCATGCCCATGGCTTTGTGTCCGAGCCGACGGTGTCTTATCCACGTTCAATGAGAACGATAGACCGGTGATCAACGAGCAAATCCGGCGGACGGTTAGTGATCTCCATAGGATAACGCGGGATACCCTCGCTGGTCGGGAGTGATAGGTGAGGATAATGGTGCCAATGATCAAGATAACACGACGCGTGGTGATGAGATGCAAGGGAGGCAAAGTCAGGGCAATCCAGACAGGTGTTACAAAGAGGATTCGGAAGAAGAGTGTGGTCAGGGCTGGTCTGGTGGTTGCGGATGTAGCCGTCCTTTGGGTGGACAAGAAATCCGTAAGTTCCAGGAATGGTTCCAGAAGCATGTTACAGCGAGTCGTGAAGGCTCTCATCGTTTCAACAATCTCATCGAGGCTGTCATGATGGCGTAGGGAGCTCTCCGAAGGAGCTCTCTGATGGCCTGGTTTCTCTCCGGATATGGATCTGGTCGATAAGGGGGAGTAGCGTCTCCAATACATGCCTAGAATAAGCCCGATCACCACAAGGGGCGGACCGGCCCACAGAATGATGGCATCACCATAGAGGACGACCGTCCAGAAGACCGATACTAGGAGGAAACTTTGCCATGCATCGTCGGTGGTCCATGTCAATAAGCCCACTAGCTTATTCAATGGCAAGATAAAGGGGTGAGAGTAAGCTAAGGCCCGAGTGATCGGTGGAGGAGTCGCGACCAATAGAGGAGATTTGCGATGCACGATAATGCTCGAGCGCTGTCGGGATGCCAGCGATGAGCCGGAGATGGTAGTAGGAGAGAAAGCAGCGACCGTCGGGGGCTGAGAATCAGCATGGTCCTGCGTGGAAGTTGATGGGGCCATGGAATCTATCCACGGAATATCGTCTGCCATGCCATCAGCATCTATGTAGAAGTGCTCTGAAGAACACTTCCCTCCTCACGCGGAGAAAGAATGTGGGGGAGGGAGCAGGGAATAAGCGTTCAGTTGATGACGGGGGTGAAGTTGGAGTTTGTGGACTCAGGCACGCGAAATAAGATAACATACCGAGAGCTGCCATCCAACAGAGACGTCATATGTAACCAGTTGGCTCATTGCGGGCGGTGAGCACGCGCACAAGGGAAAAGAAGAAGAAAGGAAAGAAAAAAAAAAATGAGGACAGAAGGTCGAAGAAAAGGGTTGGAGATCACGAGCAACCCCGGTCTAGTCAAAGATCTCAGGAACCGACGGTCAACCCAGAATACTGGTCGCCTGCGGGGGAACAAACTGCAGAATGTCCCGCGGGAGGAAACAGTTGAAGCTTTTCGTTGGTTCTCGGGACATGTGACAATGGGAGTTAATGCCAAAAGCAAGGTGTCAGCAAATCTTTCTTACTAAATATGGGAGTCGTTGCGAGAAGAGGGAAGAAAAGAAAAAAGAAAAAAAAAAAAAAAATCGAAAATGGGCCTAAATATTATTTGATTTCTTGGGGAAATATATATAATTCTATACCCCCAGAAAGAGAATAATTGTAGTCCTCTAGCGATCCCTGTCCATGAGCATTGATCGTGCTCTCTAGGTTTCGATTGTAGAAACAGCCGACAAATCGTGCCAAGGTACGGAGTAGAGTACATACAAGACCAGTAACCAGTAACCAACTACTGTTAGTGTGGTGTACTACTTACTTTACATTTAGCTGTATGGAATCGTTCCGAAGTCGCCCCAACCAGCCATAGAAAATTACAGCCGTCGTTGGTCCCGAGCCCGATGGCGGTACCAGGTACGGAGACAATACCGCCGCCGAAATTTTTCCATTGCCGTTGCGGTTTCAAACCTCCGTCTGTTTCCATCGCCATCCAACCTTTCTTGATCTCCCCCGGATCGTCAGAAACACAACTGTTGTCTGCCTTGCGTGTATCTTACCGCGATCGCAGACTTGATTTTTGTCGCGTCCCCTTACCTTTGTATTTTTTTGTCCGTTTCCTTGGTTCTGAAGTACCACCGTTCAATTCGCATTTAGCCAACATGGTAAGTCGCCGATGTCTATCTACGATGTGATTGTTTGCTTTCCCTCAACGCCCTTTCGATTCAGTTCACTAATGGAGTTTTCTGTTTCTATCAGGCCCACCGTCTCGTTTCCCAAGTCGTTGTTACGGGCGCCCGAGTCTTCGGTCGCGCCTTCGCCGAGGCCTACAAGCAGGCTTCCGCTACCGGCAAGTATCAGGCAGTCAAGGGCAAGGGTGGAAGCAGCTTCACCTCGTCCGGTTTGACCCTCGATGAGGCTTGCAAAATTCTTAACGTGAAGCCTCCCCAGGGTGGTGAGACCAACGTGGAACATGTGATGGAACGATTCAAGAAGCTGTTCGATTTGAACGACCCACAAAAGGGAGGCAGTTTCTACCTTCAGAGCAAAATCCTTCGTGCACGGGAAAGGATAGAGATGGAACTCCGCCAGGCTGAACAGAAAGCTGCCCAAGAGAAGGAACTACGTGAAGGCTGGAAGCCCAAGGTTTACAAGGATTAAGGATTGACCGGTGACTCCTTGGCGCTGGAGTCTGGAGATGGAATACTTCGGTACTGCTTCCAGGGACGCCTTCCAAATCTCGGGTCGATCAAAACGAACGCCCTCCACGGTTGAGGCGACCGCATCGAGCATATACGAGAGACCGAAAGAAGCCTATAAACTCCATCGACTTATTACATATTCCCTCTCGGTTTTTGCAGCATAGCATGGCGTTTTGGTGATTCCAACATCCGGGTTGGAGAGAGTTCTAGATTTGTTTTCTAATTCCCCCCGTTCTTTATACTCCGGGTCAGGTAGCGGTGGAAGACATTGGTGTCGGAATCGGAGGTGAATGATTCTGCGTACCACGAAGCCGACCCTGTCATTCGATGCATCCCCGCCTATCTCATTCGGATTATATCATTTTGTGTATAGTATTTGTCGGAAGGCCTGGAGCTACAGATGGATCGGATTATGATGGGGATATTTGCGGGATCGGACCATCACTTTCTGTGCTCGCCACGTCTATCCATCTTGCTTTGATCCTCCATGTGCTCCCTTTGATTATGACCTCTACTCCACTCTTGTGTTCTAGACACAGCGTTGTTCATGTACTATAAGGACCCATTCTGTGCCCTCAGTCTGGGTGCGATGATGAAAGTGTGTATAAATGTAACCGCCATCTATTGACATTTGTGAATTACCTTTTAGAATAAGTTATCCAGCAGGAATACTGTTGGGCTTACATAATAAGACACGAGAGTTCGAGGGGCGAAAGGGACGAGAGGAACATGAAGAAAAAATAAAAAACAAAGTCAATTGCCGCTGATGTTGATCACCGCCTTGAGCCGAGATAATCAGGAACACCCGCCATATGTATGTAGGGAGGGATCCTAACAATCAAGTTCACGCAAACCAGACAGCACCGCTTTCATTTGGTGGGGACTATACCCCGTGTAATTCTTTACGCTCTTCCATCTGCAGCCCCTCCCTTTGTGACAATGAATCTCCGGGAGCCCATGGGGTTACAGCTATGGCGCCATCCCGAGCGGAGGTTCCGCGCCGATGGTTAGAAATCCAAAAAGTCCGGCCACTGTCCAGATTTCCGATCGCTTATCAACGCTCATTGCCCCTCCCTTAACCTCTTCTCTCGCTCTGTTTTACATGCCGTCGATGCTAATAGAGTAGTCCCTCATCGCTCACCTCCGTTTGAGTCCCTCGCCGAACTCTTCTTTGACCGCGACAATGGGACGCCCCTCACTTCCCCTGTCGGCAAATTTGCCGCCACTGGTCATGGGCACTGCGACATTCAACTCTCAGTACAACCCCGATCCCTACGCCCTCCCTACTACAGAATTGGTCCATCGTGCCCTCACTAGTGGTGTCCGCGCCTTTGACACATCGCCCTACTATGGTCCCGCGGAGGAACTCCTCGGCCGAGCGCTGGCCACAGATTTCGTCCAGTCCAACTTTCCCCGCTACACATACCGCTTGCTCACCAAAGTCGGTCGAGTCGCGTCTTCTTCCTTCGATTACTCCCCGGAATGGGTGCGATATAGCATTCAGCGCAGTCTTCATCGTCTCCACACCGACTACCTCGACGTAGTCTACTGCCATGATGTCGAATTTGTCTCGCCACAAGAGGTGCTGCAGGCCGTTCGGGAACTGCGCCGCATCCGCGACACAGAAGGGACGATTCACTATGTGGGTATATCAGGATATCCCGTTGATGTACTGAGTGATCTTGCGGAAATGATCCTACGGGAGACGGGCGAACCGCTCGACGTCGTCATGTCTTATGCCAATTTCACCCTGCAGAATACCCGGCTGCTCACCGAAGCTCTGCCCCGTCTTGTGGCTGCTGGCGTCGACGTGATTCCCAATGCCTCACCATTAGGAATGGGTCTGTTGCGTCGCTCAGGTGTACCAATTGGTAGTATGGGTGACTTCCACCCCGCTCCGGACGGGTTGAGAAGCGCAATCCACCGCGCCGCGGAATGGGCCAATACTCAGGGTGAGAAGATCGAAGTAATTGCCATCCGGTTCGCGCTCGAGTCGTGGCTCCGCGAGGGCGCTACAGCAGGCGCTCTGGGCCCGCCTTTGGCTCGGTCTGCGGACGCGGATCCGGGCTTCCTCTCCGTTGTGAACATGGGAACCGGCGAGCGACTTGGTGTCAGCGTGATGGGCGTGAGCAACCTAGACGAACTAAACGAGACGCTCCGAGTCTGGCACAGTATCGTCGAGGGTCTAGAAAACAAAGACGACGAAGAAATCACCCAAACCGGCAATACCCAATCCAACCCAGCCGCCGTCCCTTCAGCCCTCCAAGCCCCTACAATCCTCACTCCCTCAGAAGGGATCATCACTGACCGCGCATGGTCGAACTCCCGTCGTCACCGCATCTTAACCCTTGCCCAGGAAATCCAGGCGATCCTGGGCTCCGAATGGGTGGACTTTGTCTGGTCAAGTCCTGGAACGGACTTCGTCAACACTTTGTCTGCCGACCATCTCGCCTTAAAATCAGAACTGGCTGGACTTACTTCCGCAGGACGGGAAAAGGCAGCTCCTGCTACATCGGATGGTCAAACGATGATTACTCCCCCGTTGGATGCAGTAGATACGAGGATACCCGTCGATGTAGCCCCTTCAGATGTTGCGTTGTAAATATCAGATTCTTCCATTGTATATGTTTTTGCTCAAAAATAGACCGGGGAGGATGACTTTTTGTTTGTTCCTCCTTCCTCATTGATGATCAAACGGGATTATTTTTACGACAGAGTGGCTAGTATGAGTGATGTTATTTGCCGAATCAAATAGACTTATGATATATGGTTCTGAATCTTCTAAACCTAAATATAGTATATTTTCTACAAACAATACTAAGCATAGGAAAAGACAAGTAAAAGTGGAAAATAAAGATAAAACAAAATTGTAAATCTATCTTATACTTTTGTGGAGGAATAGGTGTGAAGATTATCGCACACGCACATTTATATATATTACATCTTTAAATCCTACCTCATTTGATTAAGGAACTTGAACCAAACATCGACTCCAGACCACATCATCCTCTCCAAGCAATCGCATATAGCGCTTCCTTGGTGAGAAGGAGGTGGAAAGGAAAAGAACAGCGACAGGAAAACCTGCCATCACTGTACCAAATTGGATTGATTTTTACTATCAATGTCTGTTTCTGTGTCTGTCTAGCGCCTGCCAGAGCAGGAATGAGCAAGCTTGGTCTTCTGGAGAATTTACCTGAATCCAAAACGCTTGCAGCGGGTGACACGGTAATCGTGAAACCTGCGAGGCGGTTAGCGAGGGGCTGAGAAAAGAGGCTACATGAGCAGTGAGGGAAAAGCGCTAAGTATGGATAGGAGAGATAACCAACCGGTCTTTACGCAAGAAACGAGCTTTGGGGGAACTCTTCGTTGTCGTCATGACTGTGAAAAGTTAAAAAAACTGAATAGAGACAAGGCGATGCCGGAACGCTGTCAGAAGCTTAGAATTGCTCAGTAATGATAACAAAAACGGTCCATCCAACGAATCTCGCACGCTCATGATAATGGGTATCTGACGTTAAAAACAAAGTCCATGATAAATAGGTGAACAGAGCGGCGATCCTATGTGGGTAGGATGGAAAGTGTACTAGACATATCTTTGCCCAGAGAAGAACGTATTTGTACATAACTCGACACTCTGCGAATGCCATTAGTCTCGGTTCACTACTTCATTTCTTTCTCACGGTTAGCGAGATCTTTGTCCATGTCAGACTGGCTTTTGTAGCCGCCGACAATCAAGGCTTGTTCATTGGTGATAGAGTCTGGAACGGAAGGCAGGTCAGGCCGCAGTCGCTTCAGACGAGCGGCACGTTCCCGCGAGGCTTGTTGTTTCCTTTGCAGCTTGGTCAGTTTCTCCTTGGGCTCCTGAGAGGGAGGTGGAGAGTTGGGTGGCAATGGTGGAGGTGGAGCCGAATCAGCCGGTGGAGGGCTTTGAGGAGGTGGAGGAGGCGAGGGTGGAACCTGATACCGAGCGAATCTGGGATGCGTCTGGAAGATTTGGCGTAGCTGCCACCTTTGCTCGGTGTATTCATCATAGTTTGCTGCGATGATGGATTCCAAAATGCTGTTTTGTTGATCTCCTGTCATGGCCGTAAAAACCATGCGGTCTTTCAAGAGGCGATATGCATCCCTGAATGATTTGAAAATCAAAGCAATTTCGCGGGTTCCTCCGGAAACATCGTTGTCGGCGTTATTTGGATCCTCGATCGAGAGGCGGGCATCCTTGTTGTCCCGATAAACTTTGTAGACTCTCTGTCAAACCAAGGTCAGCCATGAAGCCTCATGATTGGACGGTTAGGGCTCTTCCTTACCTTGTTAAAATAGCCTGGTGGTTCCATCCGTATACCAACGGTTTCATAGTCAAATTCATGACCATAAAATTCGAAGAAATCCATGAGAACACTGCCTAAATTTTGCGACATAGGGCCATGTGGAAGGTGCTGTAGAAGGCTTGTCACAAGACAGGTGATAGAAAATCCTCCTAAGCCGCCACAAGGGACTTCGTTCAGCCCTCGAAGCAACAAAAATTGTTTAATCACCGAAACAATAACGGGCATGGCAGGATATTCCGACTTCCACTGCAGGAAAGTGTTATTGGCGACTAGTCCGCTATCATTGTCGAACGATAAGTCCACTCTCAGGCCAGTCATTTTATCCACGAACTTCAGGATGGGAACCCGAGCATGCGCGATCGTCTCTATTGAACCGGGTACAGCAATATCTAAATTCCTGAGGAATGCAGAAAAGGCGTAAATCTGCCCCTTTCGTTCACCAAACGTTTTGATACCATAACGCATGAAGTTAGATGAGAGTAGGACTAGATCTATATCGGCAGTTGGAAGGTACAGCCCTGAGGCGAACGAACCAAATGCACGAAGCTGCACACCATAATACCTGCTTTGAAATGCAGTCTGGAGGCGCTCAATTAAGTCCGCTCGGACGATTTGTTCGTATTGCACTGGTTTCACCCAATGATAAAAGGACAGAATTTCGTTGTGCAGTCTGTGCTAGCTTATTAGAATGGGACTGATGTATTGAAGTAGAGCTGGTGAGGACCGACCTTGTACCCAAGTGCAATGTAGGCGCCATATGGTTAAACCAAGGCGCGCCTGTCTCAGATGGGCGCACTCTCCACTCGTCAATGATTGAGCCATCCGAATAATACCTATTCAGAGGTTTGCCCGTCTTCTTGGAAACACCCTTTAATTCATCGTCATGCGTTCTCTTCCGGCTTCCAACTGCAGATTCTCTTCCCTGCATTTGGCTCCTTGGCCCCATGGGCGCGTCCTGTGGAGGCTGGTACTTGCTTTCTTCCTCCTCCACCAGGCCCCCTAACGAAATGAAATCTTCATTATCTGCTACTGCGTCTGTTTTCGCTGGTTGCGCGCTGGCGGCTATCCGGGCCTTACGGATCAGCTTGACCACGTCAACTCTCTTTGATTGAGTCTCATCCGGTGGCGGTAGGACTGTGTATGGGTCTGGATTGGACCACTTGGGAGCTGGGGGTGGGGTGGGCGCTAAGGCAGGTGTGTTGGAGTTGTTCGGCTCGAGGGCGCGCTTCTTGCGAGGACGCGACTCGTCGTCATTCTCATCGGAGGACACGTCCATGTCAGCTTCCTCGCTATCGCTGAGGCTCTCAATAGGCGCAAACTTCAGCGCTGGTTTATCATCGCCATTTTCCGGGGCAACCAAGAGCTCTGGCGTAGTTTCTCTCTTCGATCTGAGAAGCGGTCGCTCGGATGTTGGGGGTCGCGAATAGCGAAATGTGAACTCAGGCTTGGGGTGGTGGTGATTCTGCGACCGCCTGTCGTTGCCACGGAACTGGAATGGTGGTGGCATGGCGATAGAGCCCCTGTGTAATGGGGGTTGCGGATCAAAGGGACAGAAAATGAAAAGGCGACACGATCGATGTGAAGAAGTCGGTTAGTTGCAGCGTCACGAAACACTTACGCGGAACTTTTTTTTTTTTATGATTTTACACTTTTATTTCTTTTTGCCTACCAGATACTCTTCCTTGGGTAGGCGGTGAAGGCGTGATGCCCGCAATACCAGAACATCTACTCTACAGGAGACCTTTTAAAGACAACATAAAAAAAAAGCAAAAGAAACAGAAGACGAGAACAATTACACGAGAATATGGATTCCAAATGAAAATCCTTTAGATTTCCAATAAGTAGAATCCTCATTTTGCGCATAATTTCTGCTTCTCCGACCACTCTTTCAAACCAGACTCCAACCGTTGCATCAACTGCGGATCCTCTGCCATTTCTGCAAAGCTCACTCTCCCAGTATGCCATTCCAGTAGTTCTTCAGCTCTGGTGCCGCTGTTGGATTGAAGTAACCCAACACTCACGTCTATTACTAGCGGTCTTTCTTTACAGTGCCAAAAGATTGTTGCACCACAGCGGTTGCAAAATTCTCGATAAATGTCGGGTGAGCTTTCATACCGCTGCATCGTAGTTTCAGTGAACACTAAAGGTGACCCACTGGCGTTGACAATATTTGATTTTGGAATAAATGCCCACGTTTGAATAGGGAATCCGCTGGCCAGCCGACATGATCGACAGGCACAGGTTCCAGCTAAATACCTGGCGTTTCTATCTCGAAGCCACCATTTCACATCCTGGGCGTTTTCCGATGAGCCCTTATAGTAAGGAACTAACAGGTCCGGCCATGGGGAGGATGGCTTAATGGAAGTGGAGTCTGGCAGAGTGATGTAGAACACAACGCCCCCACAGTGACAACGAGCTCGCAAGCTATGACTCTTGTCGTCCGCCGGCGATATTTCGGCGGAATCGCTGGGTTGGATGTTGGACCTAAGCTCAAGCCAACATGCGGACACTGTTTCCTTGGATTCACCGGGAAGAAAGGAAGTCAAACCGCCATCCTGGGTATCACCCATTCGCCAATGCCATATGGTTTTGGTTCGACGAGAGCCCTCCACTATCAGTCCCGCTGCGACAAAGTACTGTCCTGTATGCTTCAGATGCGCAAATACATGGGCGCCACAGGTCCTACAAAAATATCGGCTTGTGACGGCAGATTGTCTATATTCGCAGAAGCGGTCAATGTTCAATGGGCGAGTCTGTAGGAGATGGTATGAAGAATATAGTTGCCCTGTGATTGCCCTACACGCCATACAGTGACATAAATTGAGGACAGCAGGGTCTGCCCCTAGCACAACCTCTTGTGTCGCTTTCCCACACAAGCAAGCGATGCGATGCTTCATCTCATCATTCTGCATGTTGGCGATCAGCTGGTGGCCGTGATGAGTTTAACAGTAGAGAAACCCCTGTATAGGATTTTGTTATTTGTATTGGTTAAGTAATGACTGGTCTTTACTAATAATGATCTTGTATCTGCCTATGCATTGGGAATCTTTCAAGCCACACGGTGTAAACCTCGGTATACACGCAGATGAGCCGGGCACGAGGTTGACTGTTTGGTGAGGTCAGCGGCGATTAGAAGGGAGGGTGAGTTCAGTTGTTAGATTGTCATGCAGAAATGCGCTCAGGTCCACGCGCCCTACGTACTGAGAGGGGAGCGGGTGGTTCTATGGGGCGATGGAGTTGATTCAATCAAAGAGACGCATCCGTCGCCGCGGCTATAAATACCCTTGTTTTTTCACCTATAAAATACGAACCCTCCGCCTCGCTCTCTCAACTCCTCTCTCAAGTCTCTCTTCCAAATCACTTGCCTACGAGAACGATCACTTTTATATCTTTTTTTTTTTTTTAAAGATACCAAACTCAATCCTTCAATACATCATGGGTAAGTAATGGCTCAGTCCTCTCCTTTCTCCCATTATTGGTGGGGTAATAGTGGGGGTTGTTTATTATTCCATATCCTCGCTTCTCTCCCATCTGCATTTCCCTACCCAAATTTTGATTGATTTTTCCTCGACTAGAATACTAGTTTAGGCCTGCTATTCTTGTTCCAATACAGGGATGCGATTTTGCTAATCATCGACTTGAATAGGTTCTGATCACGGTTGCAGCTGTGGCGCCTCCTGCCAGTGCCCCGCCGGCCAGTGCCAGTGCCCCGTAAGTGTGCTGTATCATGGTCTACCTTGGTAACAGTGATTTGACTGACTGCTCTATTTTGCTAGAAATAAATGAGACGTCGCTTAACTCACTGTGAGAAGATCATGCATAAAATCAGAATTGGGGTTGCAGGGGTGGGGTTTCATGTGTGTGCCTGAAGACAGTGATAAGCTTCACTTCAAGCAAAGAATAAATTGACTTGCCATCATCATCAAGAGTACCTGACAGTAGTCGTCACCGTAGAGAATCCTTTAGATCGACCTCTCAGACTAGGAGTTCCAAGCATTATCTTGAAGCGTTCATCTCTTGAGCGTTATGTACGTGATGAGCCATCCTCAGGCACCAAAAAGGCGGGGTACGTCGGGATCATGGGATCACAGCGTTGTGAGGAGTCTTAAGGACCAACGTGATATGAATTTAATACTACAGAGAGTCCAATATACTGTAGCTTCTAAAAGCAAAATGCTTACATGATTCTCCGTTTTTGCCATCGTCGTTGCCTACTCTTCGATCACCAGATTATCTTCTCCTACCCTCCGAACATGCCCCCCATTCTCAACTCTAAAATCGGAACAGGCCGAATATCTCCTACATAATCCACCAACGTAACTTTTTCTTTTCTTTTCTTTTCCTGCGGCACCCGCGCGTGGGCCGGTTTGAAATCGTTCCTCGGCGTCTTGATCGTCTGTTGGTTCGTCTCAGCGGACGACATAGTTCCGCGTAACGCAATTCATATCTACGGGCTTCTTGGGGGATGTCCAGTCCAAGGCCCATGTAACCATCACCGGAGTGGTGGACCAATAACTTTTAGGCGGAGAAGGCTTTACTATCACTTATTATTTTGTTTCGTGTTAAAGAAACTACGCTTCGTGTCTAAAGGTAAGAGGAAACGGCTACTATATACAACTCGGGGTAAAGGAGGAGGCCCTTATTTATGTTCAGATGCAGTGATCGTATAGGTTCTTAGAATCACCGAAATATGCCAACTATTGATCTCTCTATTCTCTCTATTCTCTCGGCTTACTTCCATTACCGGTTGTGGCCTTAGTATTAGAATCGAGATTCTATCTGCCCCACCTTCTCAAGACAAAGCCACGCATGTGTGACATGCATAAAGTATACAGCACATACATCATTAGATAACTGCCAGGATCCAAGTTTTCTAGCTCCACTTTTTTTTGAAGAAAGAACATATTAGTAGCGCTGTCAATTAATCAAATCCCTCAAGGAAAGCAGCGCAAAAGCCTCTTACTAGTTGCCTCACTTCCCAACAACTCCCCACTTGCATCCACAACGTGGCATGACGGAAGGCCTTCCAACAGCGCAGCACACTCATATCCTGTACTCCGACAGAATAGGATAGACAGCTAAGTGCTGTAGCATCATAGAGAAATAGCTCAGGCAACCTATCCATGCGTTCCTCAACGGATAAGCAAAAGACAACCTAGAATCGAATAAAACCGTCGTATATTTTGCCGATCTATGATTATCTCACCCTCCATAGAGAGCTCCCATGACCTCAGCGAAGGAGGGTCACAAAAAGAAAGGAAAAACAACGCAGATCGTCGTATCTGCAAGCGCCCCGATCAAACTCCACTAATGCCGGCGTCCATCTGAATGGTCCGATAATTGGGAAGCAAACTTTCTGTTATGGGTGGGGGGTGTACCTGTCTACCTGTGTCCAACCATGCTTGCTACGGGTGTAACAACCTGCTTTTTGTTATCCTTGGCTTTCCTTTATTTTCTTTTTGCTACCCTAGTCAGCAGACGTTTAGTATCATGCGTGGCTGCTGGGCGTCAATGTATTGGTGGGGGTTCTGAACTGTATCCTGTCCTTGGGTAGTATATAGGCCGTGATCGGCAGTATCTTGAGGATATATAAACACCACTTCTACCCTCCCTTGCTTGAGTACCTTGATAGAATCAGACAACCACTCTCTCAAATACCAAACTACTCTACTACTTTCATTCGAACAATCCAGTTCAGACCAATCCCTTCACAACCATGTCTCCCTGCACCTGCAACTGCTGCTCCGGCGAATGCAACTCTTGCTCTTGCAGCTCTTGCAAGGTATGCATTCACCTATCTTCCTACTCATAACCTAGAAATAAGATATAGAAATTAACAATTGAACAACAACAGCACTAAATGCATCACCCCTGACACCGATCCAACAATCCTTAAGACAAGAGTCATGTCGCAGACGATGATGATCCCGTGACTTCCCTTCTATCTCTCGACGAGCGGCATCAGTGAGGATGGGATGAAGTGCAGTGTTCTTTCCTTCTTTTCTTGTTCCTTCTTTTCTTCGGGGATAGAAGTTGGGTGGAAATGCGTGCATGAATGATGGTGATGATGATGGCTTTACCTGTTACTTCTCGGTTTACTTTTTGAACCTACTTTTCTTGTTTTTGAAGATTGCCTTCGTGCCGAGTAGTGTTTTCTTGCTGGTTCTTTGAGTGTAGGTGTTTGTGTGTGTAGTGGTGATGTTATTATGTTTTCTGCAACGGTGTCGTTTTGTATGACATTTATGACATTTGAGTGCGCGAGTGCGTAAGTGCGGGGTATCCAATAGTAGTAGGAGAATGAAACAGTGTCTTATTCTTATTTGACCAGTGATGTATAATGGTAGACCCCCGGGTGCAATGTAATGTGATTAGCAAGTTATAAAGAAACCTTGCTAACGAGGCCTGTTGCCACCAGTATAAGTCATATGCCTGTAGACGTAGTATTAAGAATTTATGTGAATACAGCTCCGCACTGGGTCCACGTTCTGAAACTTGTAAGTAGAATGAGTTCAGGCCTGAGCTTGACGCCTCAGGGTAGAGTCAGTGTAGCTTCGCCTCGAGATATCTAGTATCCTAGGAAGCTTAATAGTCACTTTTAACTCTTCCACCTCATAACCAGCATCTACTTAGTTATGTGGGTAGCAACGGATCTCTCATTATCAATGTCTTCAAGGACGCGAGAATTCCAGCTATAGTCTACACCACCAACCCCGTCATCTTTATCTTAATAGTTTTAACTGGAACTGTGACTACATATAGCAGCTCCTACATTGTACTCAATAGTTCTAGAACATGACCTGGGTATAAAACCTGTTGGGGAGAGAACTCAGCAAGAAACCTATTTGCCAATTATGCTAGTATAGTTGCCGTTATTGTGATCTGAATCCTTGCATAGATATGGTAGTGCTGTCCCACCTGGACTGACGCAAGTAATGTCAACTGGACGAATTTCCAAAGGTTTTACGTGGGCCACAATGATGATGAGGTAAATATAAGGAGAACACAGAGACTATTGAAACGCACGACAAGGTCATTCGTTAGCTAGGTTCAGTTAAACCTACCCATTCTATCTATAGAAATGCGACTCTTCGGGTTGGGGGGGGAGGGGGGCATTAAGCTTAGTTGTAACCAGTGGTATAGTGGTATCTACCCAGATATCTCCTTCGATAGCTGATCAATGACGGGACTTGACTTTTTAGATAGGTATAATAGCAAATTAAGAACGTCCTGAAAGACTATTATCATACTTGTAATAACCTATAGCAAAGCAAACCGAATCAACGAAAACTCTCGGTTCCATGTTATACCACTAAACTGATATATCCAATCCAATAGTCTAATAGGTAGCAGGCGTAACACTCAACCGACCCCCATCTGTAAGCACACAGTTCCCATTACAGTAGGCCCCCGCACGCGACGCCAAATACAAAAGCGGTCCCATAATATCTTCTGGCGTTCCAGCTCGCTCAGCAGGGATCTGGTCTAGAGGAAACGCCCCCTCCTCAGTAGGATTCTTTCCCTCAATCAAATCAGCTGTCAGATCAGTCGGGAATACTACCGTCTCTGTCAGTACTCTGCTCGCTTTGACGTCGTTTACTAGTAAAAAGAAAAAAGGGCTTTCTTACTCCCAGGACAAAGAACATTGGCACGAATCCGATACGGCACCAGATAAGTTGCCAGCACCTTCATCATCATCGTCGTGGCAGCCTTGCTCGTGCTGTAGGCAAACCCAGCCGAGATGCGTCGGTTGAAGCTCCCGATACTGCTTGTTGCAATCACCTGGCTGCGTCCGTTGCCGTAGCTGCCGTTCCTGTTCCCTGCGTCTAACAAGCCCAGAAATGCAATGGTAGTGTAGAACACCGCGGTGCAGTTCACGTGGAACGTGTTGGTGAATTCCTGCATTGGGATGTTGTATAGCGTTTCTTGGAGCTCAGCGATGCTTGATCCGGGCGGGACGCTGCCGGATGGACCGGCGATGCCGGAGTTGGCAATGAGGAGATTGATATAGCCGGTGTCTGCTTCTATGTGGGCGACAGCGGCTTTGAGAGCTGACTGGTCAGTGACGTCGCATTGGATTGGGATTACGATGTTCTTGTCCTGAGGGGGCCCGTGGAAGGTAAGTTAGACGCGCTGCATTGATGGAATGTTTAGGGTTCGGGGAATGGGAGAGATTTAACTAGTTCTGCAGCCACTTGCTCAAGGATGGATTTCCTTCGTCCGAGAATGTATACTTTCTTTGCACCGTTGGCAGCTAATGCTTTAGTCATGAAAAGACCGAGGCCTGGGCGGGTAGAGATTTGTGAGCTCTGGGTTTATCAGAACATTCAATAGTATTTCTGTGGTTAGCTTACCGCTGCCGCCGCCGGTCACTACAGCCACAATACCAGATACATCGAAGAGGCTGGCTGCTGAGACCATAGTAGATATGGCCATGGTGGGAGATTGACTGAAGCAGGCGAATGTGGATGGAACAAATAGTTTATTGTTACCACAGTGGACAAGGTAACTTCTATATAATTGCTTCCAAATGGAGTGCCGACTGCGGGGTACCACGAGGCTACTAGATACTTCAACTGTACATTCTATACAGGTCGTATAGCGACTGGCTTCACCCGGCCGGAGACTCCTTCCATTTCGAACCAATCTCGACTCCTCCCTAGCTTCGCCAAGTCATGGGGAATAGACAACGGTAACCACAGCAGGTGCAACTGCACAAAAAAGAAACCAACTAATGTCGATTGATTAGTTGGATTGTGGTATAGATCAATGCATGGATGTCCATACAGGTCTTGGTCCTCATCTTGTCGGAAGATAAACCTACTATCCCTATTAACCTTCACTCTGATGTCTATTTTCTCCACACATACTATCCAGTGTTACAATTGTTCAAGAGTCAAACTCCAAATCAAATTGTCATTGTCCACGGAGGGCAATGTTAGGGCTTCCGGCAAGACAGCTATTATCACAAGCACGAGAACCAGTACCCAACTCAATCACCTACATACCTCCCTCTTATTCAATCAAGTTAACCAAAACAAAAGAGATCAAAGGCTTTACAAAGCCACTACCACAACATCCTCTAATGCGAATGTGGTTGCGTAAACCCTTCCCAATGCCAAAGGTAGCCCTGATCACTACAGTAAACCCAGGGATATCCATTGCGGAGGTCGCTGAGGTTGCGATGATGTCGAACCAATCAATATATGACGCTTGTAGGCTGGAAATTTATAACGTGACTAGTCTCTACATTAAGTCGTCTCTTCCGGCGTCGGCTTTTCCGACTCACTCCGGAGTCTCCTGCTTGTTTTGGGCGACGTGAGCGGGGCTTCCAAGAACCACGGATGGAATAAATGGAAGTACAAATCAGGTGTATCCATAAACCTTCCAATTACCAGGAAGAAAATATCAAGTCATTCCATACCGAAAAAGTTAGCTTGTAAGAAGTGAGGGGCCATATATTTGGGGAGATTTACGGGTTTCCGTCATCGACACGTCAAATGTGATCAAGGTAAGCTTAACTTGCCGTGTATCAGTGGCGGTTCCGAACACCCACCGCCTTCCGCCGGTGGGTGTTCGGCAGCCTAAAGGAATTTTCAGTGTAAAGGAAGATAATCAATCTTCTATCTTTTTAAAGCTATACAAACCATAAAAAATGCCCAAAACGTCTAAAATTTCAGATTCACATGTAGATGAAGCTATTGAAGCCGTCTATCTTGAAAAAAAGCCTAATATTGCAAAAATCGCGCGGGAATTCGGGATCCCATATCGCACACTCCATG